TTTTTTTTTTTTTTTTTTTTACTTTTTGAAAAAAATGCAAGGGGCAAAATTGTCCAAGGGGGGGCGGTGAGTAGTAATAGGAGGATGGTGAATAGCGATTGAATATTTATTTCGCGTGTATTATTCTTGCTGTTTTATTTATTATTCCCAAATTGAGGATATTATTTTAATAGTTTTAACAATGCTTTGTTTTGAAATAAAAATATACTTAAATTTTAAATATTATATTTTATTTATTAAAAATACTTTTAAAAGTATGCACTGAAAAAAGTGTATCTAATTTGGAGATAGAATACAGGGGGTTTATTGATTTTGGATTTCTAAAGTCTTTTAAGACTTAGAAATTATGGTGTATTTAATTTATCCGACAACCTTGTCTACTGTAAGGCTGGGAATTGAAGAGTTTTAAAAGTATTGACGTATTTATTTGAGATTTTAAGCTATTTAACTTATTTGAAATTAGAATTTTTAATACATTTTAAGATTTGATGAAATTTTTATAGAAAAAAACATATTAGAAATCTCACTCTAAATCCCACATCGACTTAACATTTCACTTCATTCTTCTTAAATTTGAAAATTTCAAAAAAAAATCTCACATATAAAAAGAATGACATTCGAAACCTCAAACTATTTTAAAGCTTACCAACCGGAAACAATTGTTTACTCTTGAGATTATCATGCCGATCATTATTTCTTCTCGTTTTAAATTTACTAGTATGTGGCCCGTGCGATGCACGGGTAAATAATATCAAATAATAATTATAAATTGACGATATAGGTATATAATATGTATTCGTTTAGAATTTTGAGTGCCACTTTGAGATTTTTTAAGATTTGAGACTTTTAAGATGATCAAATTTTAGAGGAATACTATGAAATCTTAAGTGTGAATGTGAGATTTAGAGTGAAATTTTGTATAATGTTTTTTTCTTTTAAATTATAACTAATCTTAAAAAGACCTAACAAATTTTAATCTCAAATAAGTTAAATATTTAAGGATATTTTAAGATTTTCTTAATTTTTATATATCAAGATGAACCGCTTTTGTTACCAAAAAAATGTGGACACAATTTTGAATATACATCCCGTCCAAATATCAGTTTTATTCTAAAATAAAAATTGCACGTGGTTTTATCCAATTTACACACTTTTTTTTGAAAGAAAAAGTTATTCAATAAGATTGGAAGAATTAGTTAAGAATCATACAACTATTTGTTTACAAAATTTGTATCCAATTTGTACAGTTTTTTAGTTAATTTGTATTTAAAAAAATTTTTTTCATAAATAATTGACACATTTGTTACCAAAAAATATATGATTTAAATTTTGGTAAAAAAAATAAAATATGATATGAAAAAAATAGAATTCAAAATTTGCGATAAGAATCTCCAAATCAGTTAACAAAAAATTAGGATTCAGATTTTGTTACTAAAGATTCACATGTATATTTTTGAACTTTCCATTAATAGTAAGTCAACCATTATATTTATTTGGTCAAATTTTATATTAATGTATTTTTCCAACAACCTCTTTATATAGATATAGATATAGATTCAAACATGTATTTTAAAGCTTACCAACCGGAAATAATTATCTACCCTTGATATTATCATATTGGTTCTTTTTTTCTTCTCATTTAAAATTTAGTCAACAGGTCCATATCAGTGTTTGACTGGTCTAATTGTGTAAATTCATTTTAGTCCTTTCAAACACAATTTATTAAATTACACGACTTTGAAACTAGAAAAAGTTAAAAGCTCATCCACTAAGATTCGAATTTACTAGACACTAAGTGACTGAATTTTTCAATGGTATTCATTCCTACAAATCGAATGTTGATTCATCTTTTGAACTTCCTTTCGATTGTTCAAGGTTAATTATACCGAATTTACTAGGCTTAACCCTATATGATTTTTTTTTTAAACGATAGTTATTCCGACAAATCAAATGTTTATTCTTCTTTTGAACTATTTGCGTGCTTCAAATTTCTAAATGTTAATTCTTCTTTTGAATTAGTTTGTGTTGGTCAAATTTCGATTCATTTTTGTTAGACAGACCTATTTTATTAGGTTGTCATTATGTTTTTGCACATATGTATAGCTTAATAGTCAAATGTTATATTGTATAAAACAATTTAAGAAAATGTTTTCATATATTTTTGTTTAAAAATTAAAACAAATCAACACATAACAACATCACACACATATGTATGTATATATCAAGCATAATAAATTAGCATGTGAAATTCTCGTAAAATAATCTTTTGGTACTAAAAAAAAATCATTAGCCGTCAGTTTTTACATTTTTTCTTTCCATTGTCTTTGATTCTTGTTTAGTTACCTAATTATGTCACTAAACAACTAGAAAATTGTTGGAGGATGTACATTAATCTTGGATTTTGATTTTGCATAGCTCAATTTTCATTTAGCTTGAAACGAAATTATAAACACCTTATCTTCACTTTTCATGAATATTTAGTGTAGACTAGTACTCATGTGAATTTTATAAGCAAATTATGTAATTCTACATAGGTCAATTAACGTATCATAAATTAAGTTTATAAAAACCTCTATTTGATCTACAACACAAACTTGAATATCACAAATTTGATCTACAGATTAATTAATGTATCATAAATTAAGTTTTTAAAAACCTTTATAGAACTTTATTAGTCATTTTCAAGCCGAGCCGAGCCGAGCGACGAGCCATTCAGAGCCACAAAGTCAGCGTCAAAGGCTGATGTACCAAAAGAAAAAAAAAAGTAGCACATGAGCCTAAAACTTTATTATATTTACAATCACTCGTTTCCAAAGCTCTATTTAATTAACACAGTTACACACTCGCAACTCCCATAAAATAATAAATCTTCCAAAAATTTGAAAAAAAAAAAAAAAACAATTAAAAAAAATCTATTTCCATTAGCCGGTTACAATGGGCATATTGGTGTTGGAGGAGACTAACAAGGCGGAGCTCGTGGAATTCCGGCGGATGCTGCTGTCCAGCGTGGCGGTGCACCGGCGGAAGGACGACGAGGGATTTGGAGCCCGCGAGGATGCGCCGCCGGCGCGAAACGGCGACGTATTGGATAGAATGGTTTGCGTGACGAGCGGCGTATCATACCTCGGAATTGCTATCGTGAATCAGCTTCTGGTCGGCGGCTACTCCGTGCGGATTTTGGTCGACAACGAAGGTAAACGCTGCGGGTGTTAATTGACTTCAAATTTTTTTTTTTTTTTTTNTAAAAAAAAAAAAATCTCTAATTTTCCTTTTTTACCTGCAAAAGTACCATCTTGAGTCGTTCGAAGGTCGCAAAAATAGCCGACGCTCGATATTTAATATATTCATTTGTTATTGGACATAGACTTTTGGAAATGACTATTAACCCATCTCAATATTTTGTCTCACTTTTGTTAAGTCCAATCTTTATCAATACATTTTTCAGAGTAATAATTTTGTACAATTTTTATTCCTTTATATTTTTCATTTACAATCTAAAGAATTCCCCCTTAAAATGCAGAGGATGTGGAGAAATTAAGAGAAATGGAGGTTTCCGGTGAAATGAGACCCAACCGAAGCCTCGTCCAGGTGGCTATGGCCGATCTCACCAAAGTCGAGAGCCTCGTCGAGGCTTTTGAGGGTTGCCGTGGAGTTTTTCACACGGCTGCATTTGTGGACCCCGCCGGACTATCCGGTTACTCGGTGAGTTTATATTTCCTTTTCCATCACGAAAAAAAAAAAATAAAAGTGTTGTCACTTGTCATTTTAAATTTTAACCACAAATCACAACATAGTGGTAATATTAGTAAATAGCCTTTTCATTTTGTAAAACGATCGAATATAACCATTTTTTTGGAAATATGAATAATAGCCAATTTACCTTGTACAATGGCCAAAATAATCTTTCCACACTTTTTTTGACTTAGATTTATTTCCACACATTTTGTCTACTCTTTCACACTTTTTTTGACTTAGATCTATTTCCACACATTTTGTCACTTGTCAGTTTTAAGTTTTATCTTGAATTATATAATCAATTTCCGTTATCCAATAATGGTTTCTAGAACAAATAAATTAACAATGTCTTGAATTTTACAATTAATTTATGGAATTCTAGAAACTTTGTGTCAAAAATTATACATTATTTATTCAAAATTTTTTATTAGAGGTAATTGTATCATTGCATTGTTATTATTCATACATTTACTACTTGACAATAAAACCAAGGCACTGAAATCACATATGTCTAGTGAGTAGTTGAAATGGGGTTTAATGCACCAAACCCCCTTGTATTATATGAAATCTGCGCGTTTCCTCCCTGTATTTTAAAAATTGCGTCAGACCCCCTTCTATTAAGGTTTTGTATGCGCGAAACACCCAAAATCGTCGCGCATACAAAACCTTAATAGAAGGGGGTCTGACGCAATTTTTAAAATACAGGGGGAAAACGCGCAGATTTCGTATAATACAAGGGGGTATAATACAAGGAGGTCTTGTATATTTTACCCAGTTGAAATGGATGGATCTCATTTGATAGCTAGTCAGTGAATGGTACGATCAAAGGGAAACTCATTGGATTATACCCTGTGTGGTCCATAGTGATGGGTCCACCATTATTGAAAAGACTATTTGTGTAGAGACAAACCATTTATGAAGATGAAATCCCATTGGAATAGACCTGAGTGGTCCATAGTGATGTGTCCATTATGATGAAAAGATAATTTGTGTAGAGACAAACCATTTATGACAATATTATGAAGGTAAAACTTTGCTGTAATAGTTAATTTTATATAGTTTGATCACATAAATGCAGCTGGTAAAAATGCTATTGTTCTCATAAAAAAAATGCTATTGCTCGGAATAATTCTCTCGGATTAAAAATGTATTTTACCTTTTTGTAGAAAGCCATGGCTGTTGTTGAAGTGAAGGCCACCAAAAACGTCGCGAAGGCATGTGGAATTTCATCCTCTGTTCGCCTCTGTGTGCTGACGTCATCTCTCTTGACGTGCATTTGGCGGGAAAATTTGAGAAACGAACAAACTCCCTCTCAAATTGACCACAAGACATGGAGCAATGAATCTGTCTGCATAAACAAAAAGGTGCAGTGCAAAAGCTCAGATATAGTTATAGTAGGGCCTTTTAACAACTTGGACGTTCGCGAACAAAAGCTCGATCGAGCTCGTTCGTTTATTAGCTGAGCCGAGTTCGAAAAGAAAATCATGCTCGTTTAATAATCGAACGAACACGAGCTCGTTCGCGAACATTGATTTATTATAATTTTATTTTATTTTTCGTATATTTACATGATATTTTTAATAAAAAATCTAAAATTCAAAAATATTTTATTTTATTTTTTTACTTACGAACAGATTTCGAATTAATTAAACATATTTAAAAAGTTTGTGTCCTGAATTATTTGAACGCGAACGAACTCGAACTCGAACACGATTTATTGCATGAAAAATAAACGAACAAACAATATTCGAACGTAAACAAAAACGAGCTCGAAATACCCAAACTTGGCTCGTTCGATTCGATTTCGATTAGAGCACTATTTTACAGCCAATCGACTATTAAAGTTTTGAGTTTTCTCTTTATTTTTCCTTATATTTCAGCTTTGGTATGCTTTGGGGAAGTTGAGGGCCGAAAAAGCCGCATGGGAAATCGCGAAAGAAAACAAACTAAAGCTAGCCGCCATTTGTCCCGGGCTTATCACGGGCTCGAATTTTTACCAAAGAAACCCAACATCCACAATGGCTTACCTCAAACGAGCTCGCGAGATGTATGCATACGGATTGCTTGCTACAGTCGACATAAACAAATTAGCAAAGGCTCATGTTGCTGTTTTTGAGGAGATGAAGAAGACGGGTTGCAGTGGTGGAAGGTACATTTGCTTTGATAAGGTGATCGAGCAAGAAAACGAGCTCGAGAAGCTGGCTAGTGAGGTAGGAATTAGCTCGAGCACGATAATCGAGGAAGCTTCGTGCAGCAGCGATAGGCCTCGATTGTTCAAGCTATCGAATGTAAAACTTTGTCAACTAATGTTGAGAACACAAAGGTGTTATAATGAGTGATTAGAGGTTATTTGTGCTCTAGTTTTCATTTTTAAGAGTTTGTGTATTTTTCTAGTTTTTGTCTATGCAGCCTGAAACTGCAATGAGCATGGATTAAAAGTTAAAACTGCAAGCAACATTCATCAAA